AGTGGTAGGGTGTGGACAAGTGTCTCTAAAGGCCCAGGTGTGCAAGTCCCAGCGCTACTGGGAGGTGGAGGAACCTTTATGGGATGAGACACAGGGAGAGAAAGTTAGGTCACTGGGGGTGTGCTCTTGAAGATGGCACTGGGACCCAGGCACTTCTGTCTCTGCTTCCCTACTGCCACCAGTGGGCAGTAACTGCTACCGCAGCTCTCCCACCACAACAAACAGGCCCGAGGAAACAGGGCCAGGCAAAGGACTAAAACCACAAGCCAAAATAAATCTTCCTTTTTACTTGATCACCTACGGTATTTTGTTACAATAACAGGAAGCTGGCGAATACCAACAAGAAGTGAGGACTCATGAGCAGGGAAGGTGTTGCAGGCAGCATGGTCAGGAGTCACAGGGGGAACAGGGTTACCCCACATGGTCAGCTCAACATGCAGAGACCCTAGGTTGTGAAGCTAGGAAAGCAGGCTGGGTGATTCACCCATGGGGCCTACTGAGCATCACAAGTCCCATCAACTTATCCTCAACACTGGACCGTGCTGAGCAACAGATGGATCTAACAACTCTTTAGATAGAATGATCTGATAGGGGCAGGAAGAAAGAAGACAGAAGTTCTCTAGCCTTTTATTGGCAGAAGTGCGTATGGAAATAAAGAATGAACACTGGAAATCTAGGAAGGATCTAAGGTCAACGTTTGGTCCAGATGTCTGTGTGAAGAGGATGATGCTTTTAGATAAAGATGCACAAGTTAGGAGATCATGTATGAACAGAAAAGAGGGAAAGAAATGACCACATTGGCTGGGAAACTCCTGAGATTTTAGGTCACCTTAACACCAGAAATAAGAGTACTGCATGGTACAGTCGTGTGACTCCACTGTGCTCTTAAGAAAGCCACATGAGGCCATGGGGCTTTTGCACACAAGGTTGCTAGCCAAAGGTCCACGCCCTGCCCCCACTGAGTTGATGCAGCACTGAACACACTTCTACAGGGAATCCTGCCTTGACTGTCCACAACAGGATCAGCCCTCAGCCCTGTCATATGCTTTCATAGAAGATGTATACTTATTTCTGTGCCTATTTGATGAATACCAATACTGTGAAGGAGATCTGACATGCCACTCCAAAACATACGGCTCTGGCATATTATTGTGAGAAACAGGAAATACAGGCAGGACATTCAGGCCTCCCCTTCTAAACACATACAGGTCATCCCATTTCCCATAAAATGAGACATTGCTTTCCCTGTCCCTTATTTGCCAATCTGGATAACAACACCAAAATGAAATGGACCTGTATAAACTAAAATGACCCTTCACTTTTACTGCTTTTTCCAATATGTCTCTTAGTGACTACCCCACAATGTATTGCCTCTCATCCAAACCCATCTCTCATTATTTCTTCCCAAATTTATCATTTCTTTATATAAGGGCACAAGGACTTCCATGTACATGTAAAATTCTAATAAAACTTGTGCATGTTCTCTTATTAATCTGCCTCATGTCATGTTAGCTACTAAGCCCAGCGGGAGACTCCAAGAGAGTAGAGAATGCCTCTTCCCTACCCCCACTCTACGCTGCAAGTTCCTGGGAGGTACCTCGGGCTACACAGAGGGCTCAGTAAGCTGTGATGAGCAGATGGGAGGAGGCCATGTGTGTGGAGCTTGGCGAGCAGATGACGTGGGCACCTTAAGATCCTCCTCCCAGACAAGGCTGAAGCCATGAGCAGAAGAAAAGCCTTGGGGTAAATGGAGGTGGCCACATATCTGAAGCCATGTAAGCAGGGGAAGGGATTATGCACACATGGGGTGCTATAAAGTCTCCAGGGAGGAGAAACCAAGGACTGATGGGGCCAACTGCAGCTCAAGAGCTAGAGGCTTCACATGGCCACAGAAAGGGCACTGCTCTGGCGAGCGCTCAGAGGCATACTGCCTGCCCCTGGTGAGGTCACAGAGCAGAGTGGCACACATGCAGGCCTGTACCTGCGGAGTGGAGGTTCCTCCTCTGCATATGCCCTCCTGAGTGGCCCTCCTTTGCCTGCATGTGAGCTTGGTGCTGATCCCAAGTATAACCAGGGCATGGTGGATCCCTTAATGCCCCATTAGTAGGTTCCTGCAGGCAGAGGATACAGGGTACTCTTCCTTCCCTGGAGCACATCTGGGGTCAGGAGAAGCCTCACCCATCTGCCAGCTGTGAGCTGTGCACCCTCAAACCTCTCCTCCCAGCACCATACATTTTCAATTGGTATTTTTCCATGAGTTATATGGATAAATTTACCACCTTATTCACCCTGTCTCAGAAATGCTGGTTTGTCCCCATTTTTCTTATGTGCCTCAGACCAGCCCTGCACTAGGTGGGTCTGTACATATTCACCACCACCTGCAATGGATGTATGCATGCAGACATCAAAGACGAGTGCTTAGAGACCTTTATAAAGCAACTGACAGGGAGTTTATGACTGATGACTCCTGAACACAAAAACACGGGTCTCAGATTTTATGTCTTTTGCCCCATCCATTTTATTGTATGTTTGTCATTTGGAAAAGTCTTAGTCTGCCACCTCACTGCTTTGAGAAACACTCTGAGGCAACGCTTCTTTCCTGACTGCTAAGAGCAGCAAAGCCTCTCATTCTAATTAACTGACTGACATGGCAACAAAATCACAGAGCCTGGATCCTACAAAAGCAAACTTCCTTATTCCTCTGCTAGACATTAATGCTGTCTTTCTCCCATAATACAGCTCATCTTGGGATGAAAAAGAATCTCAAAGAATGCATTTTTTTAAGAATGCATTTTTATTGTTTCAGAGAAAGCAATGCTATCTCAGATCCAGAGAACAATGGACATTCTGATCAAGACCTGAAAAGCACCTTTGGCTAGGTGTGATGGTGCATGCTTGTGATCCTCCCATTCTGGAGGCTGAAGCAAGAGGATCACTGCTAGCTTAAAACCAGCCTGGGCTACCAAGTGAGTTCAAGGCCAGGCTGAATGGTATAATGAAATCCTGTCTCAAAAGCCAAGGGTAAAAAAGAAAAGAAAAAGCATCTACACACATGAGCCTCACCACTTGGTCACTGTGCCCTAGTTCCTGTCCTAAGCACATTAATCCTGGCTTACAAGGATCTGAACACAAAGGCATGCAAAGTGCACACAAGCCAAGTATGGGCTTTGTCTCTAATAAGCATGGTACTACTGTCACTGCTATCAAGTCCTATTTACACCCCACCCCCCACACATGCAGTTGTAAAGGACAGGGTCCAAATCACAGAGGCCCTGCCTGCCTTCTACCCAGCACAGTGCTCAGCTCCACCTTCTGCCTTTTCCTTCTTCCTAGTGCTCTCATGATGGGGTTTTAGTAGATGAACAGCTACCCTGCCACCTGGTTCCTGAAGCTGGCTTTGCCTAAGGCTCAGCCAACCTTGGTCTTATTTGTCTATTAAACCCTTTAAAGATTCATGAGTAGCATTATTATAGCTTCTTGTGTTCCCTCTGTCCACTCACCAATCCAATGGGGCACTTGACTATTCTGCTGCCAGCAGCTCTAGGAAAAACACCTTCAATCCCCGGAGGACTCCCCAGGTGACAGCAGGGGGCATTCCCAAGAAAACATACCACAGAGGCCCAGGTATAGACTGCAAGAGATCTACCGGCTAAGTCGGCACTCCACACCTCCTGCACACTGTCCTGCTCATCACTGAGCTAACACGCCACCTGAATCCTTAACATCTCTGCTAATTTCCAGTGCAGACCAAAGCCTCAAATTATCATGAAAATAGGTATTGCTAGGCATGGAAAGCGAGCAGTGGGGATCTACTTTTCTGCAAAGCTGGTGATGGGCTGAGGAATTCAATTTTTTCTCAGGGTTGGTGGTTTATCTGAAGCCAGGCTCCCTTCAGAGCTGCAGACACACTCAGGAGTTGAGCCCTGGTGAGCATGCTGCATGCCTTGGGCCAGTCTCCGGTAGCACAAAAGGCTGCGCACAAAATCACACGAGAGTGGGTGCTGGCTGCACTGTCCTGACACTGCACTAACGAGGTGAGTGCGCATAGAAATGCGACTGGGGACCTCATGGAGACACTAGGGGTGACGGAGACAAAGCAGATATCTGAGACACATACCCCATCAGGATCTCGTTTGGTTATTTCTTATTTGAAAAGTCAGTATTTCAAAGGGGCTTCTGACATTTCTACCATGGAAAAAGGCCAAGTGTCTACTGAAAGGTAAGACAGACACTCATATTTTAACAATGCTTTGTACAAAACTTGAGAATTTTAAGAATTCTTTGAAATCATGCTCCCAATAAACAACATCATGGAAAGCAAGTAAATGTTTTCTTTTTAGTGATCCAGAAAAAAATGACTATTTGAGTGTTCTCAACTTCTGAATGTGTTTGCATCCTTTATCCTATCTCTTTCTCTTCCCTTTAAAGCCATTTCACCTTTAGCAACTGTAGCTCTCTCCAATAAAGCACTCATCAGGACTAACTCTGGGGTCAGCCTGGGATGCTGGCATCCCAGAGATGCTGCCCCTCAACTGACTGGCTCCAATCAAAATAAGAAAAAGGTGACATCAGGCCAGGTGAAGAGAGCAAGCACCCTTTCAAACTGCGATTCTGTACTGCACAGCTTGCTACCCAGGGTCCAGCCCTGCCTTGGGACATCTCCCGTAGGTACCCTCCAAGTCGGTGCAGAGCCAGGCAGCTTTCCACAGAAGGTCAAGAGAGGAGGACCAGTCACCTCCGGCTTTTCCTCCCACCTCACTCTCACCTCCAACAGCTTCTCCCCAGAAATAACTTAATGCATGAGCTCACCCACGGGGAGAAGACAGAGGCACGACACCTACAAGTAGCCTATTTATAGAAAGTGTTAACACTCCTCCGGGAAAGACACCACAAGTTTCCTTGGAAACGCCCAAGGCTGCCCCCCTTGGAATTCCAGCCTGCTGACACCAGAGGCTAAGAAAGCATCTCTGAAACTAAAGCCAAGTTGAGGAGGTACTTACGGTTTTCCCCCAGGGATTCCTGCCAGGTTGGGGGGGATGGTAGGTACTCTCATGTGGGGAGGAGGATCAAACCCAACCTAGAAATGAAAATAAAGCATGGCAATCTCACTGATCCAGACAGGCACTTTGTGAATATCAACCTTGCATTAGAAATTCTTCTATTTGCAAGGGAATATAAATGGGAACAGTGGCATGGGCTAGAATTCTTTAGGGGAGAAGGATACCATGACACATGAGAAGGTCCCCATGGAATGCAACCCACAGACTCAGAAGTTCTATCTAGCCCACAAGTGCTGACCAAGTACACCGCTCCTGGTGGTGTGCACCAGGTGGCTCGCTCTTTGTGAGCTCTGCAATGGGCTTTGAGGACAGTTAGCAGCCTCTGCCTTTGGTGCCAGCTGCATTTCCTGGATGTGCTCATCTAGTGTCTAAAGAGGCAGAACTCCACAGCAGAAAGCACTCTGCTAGGTTAATGCTTAAGGTCCACACACGGACTCCGTGCTGTGCATGACACATAGCTGCCGCCTTACTTTTAGCTCTCCTGCCTCCACTGCAGCTCTCCCTACAAATGTATCATCAAAGTCACCTTTTACAGCCCTCCAAACCACTGGGGGTAACAGGAAAGCAGGGAAAGACATGGGACATATTCTGAACAGCCAAGACAAACACTTCCAGAACTGTTTGCTACAGGTAACTTCCATGTCCCTCCAGAATCAGTGAAGACTGTTCCTGTCACTCTTCAAATGCAGGTCTGTGTTTTCTCGGTTAAAAACAGGTTATCTGCCAGCATTTGTCTTTATTTGAAAATACCTATTCCTTCTACAGAAAGATGGTATCTCAGGTTTTGATCTGCATTTCTCTGATGGCATCAATGTTGAAGATTTTTCATAGATTTACTGCCCAATCTATTCATTTTGCTTGCCCATTCTTTGGTTAGGTCTGAAAGCATGACAAGAAAATGAGCCTAGCATGGTGGTTTCATACAAGCCATGCTAGTGGGGTGACAGAATCCATGGCCATAGAAAGAGAAAGTACTGCTTGTAAAGTACTTTTTCCTATGATCTAAGTGGAGGAGAAAACAAGAGAACAAATTAAAAGGCTTCTATCACTAGTCATTTTATCACCTTCAAATAAACAAATCTATTTTAGTAAAAGTAAGCCAGATGCCCCTGGGTCACTGAAGGAGCGCATCCCAATGGTACGCCTGTTCACCTGGATCGAAGTGAGCAGTGCTTGGCACTGTCACAGCTGGTGCACCAGTGAGGCTGCAGGGTCAGTGGGTAGGGTTGGGAGGCCGGGCTTTATGTCTGGGTGCCCACACTCTCTGCCAGTGGCCTACCATGGGGGAGCGCCCGTAGGCTACAACAGCGGCAGCGGCGGCGGCGGCACTCATCTGGGGAGACATGTTGTGCAGGCCAGCGTAGGCTGCTCCAGGGCTGGTCAGCTCGCCATTCATGCCTGCGTGGGGCACCATCCCGAAGGGCGCAGGGTACGGGCCGGGAACTGCCAGGGGTGTCCGCAAACCGGCTGCTGAAAGCAAACAAACCACGGATGATTCTCTTGAGCCACTGAATAAAATTCTCAGCTCTCATCATTTGTGTGTCATTCACTATGGAGAGGGAGAAGCAGACCACTCCTATTTACCCTGGATCCACTCTTTCCCAGAGCCAAGCCTCTCTGGGAGAGATAGGAGCCAGAGGCACCACTCACAAACTTCCTTGCTGGTGCATGTGGCAGCTCTACGAAGCCAGAGGATTAGCCAGAATTACTGTATCCCATTTACAGAGAGAGAGAGAGAGAACGAGAGCCATGGCACAGGTACTGAGTGTTTCTCGAACTGAATCTCAAAAGAAGACTTTCTTGACAAAATTTAAGATTTCTCCTTCAGTCTGAACTTTCTATTCTTTGGTACCAATTTCAAATGAAAACCAAATCCAAGATTAATTTTTCTGGACTCAGGTTGTCACCTTTCCCTTGGCTAGCTAATAAACTGGAGTTGAACGTTCTGGGTGTGTTTCTTGAGGGGCTGGGGTCTCAGTGACATCTCAGGGACATCATGTCCCACTCAAGGAGAGTCTGCTTCCTGAGGGATGTACCAGCAGAACACCTGGCAACCCCAGGTGGCAAGACGCACACAGGCACAAAAGCGGCCCTTTCGGTCAACATTAGTGAAGTCAGACACACAATAATAGTTTGGTTAAGGAGCTTATGTCCAGAATAATTATCAGAAACTTTATTGAAGTGCCTCGGATGGATTTGTGGAAATAAAAGCTGAGTGTAAACAGTCGGAGACGACACAGGGTGCAGCTGCTGAAACCCAAGGACAAACACCTGTCTCTCGCCGTGCCTGGTTCAGGGACAGGAAAGGGTGCCCTGAGTGTGCTGCAGATTCATGGGGAAAGCATGCCAGGAGATTAACAGACAACGCATCAAGCCAGGAAAGGAGGCACAATCACAGCACAGCGAGCGGCCCTACTCTACCCGCTTGGTTGACGAGGGGCTCCATGGCTGGCGGTTTGCCGAGGCCTGGACGGAGTCCTGGAGTGGCGCTCGTGCCCGGCGTTGGCATGTCGCTCCGAGGCGTCGGTGTGCTGGATTTTAGAACAGGCGTGCTGGCTTTTTCATGCTGGTATCATTAAACAAATTAAATGAGTATTAATTTTAATCCAAGCCATATTACACAATTTATCACAACAGCAGCTGGGACACTGGGCACCTTCTAGCTATTCCCTCAGCCAATTTTCATAAATCCACACAATGTTGACAGCATTAACTTGTGAGAGAGAAATGTTGACCTTTCCTCTTCCTGCCAAAATTAAAGCTCAAGCTAGAGACACAGAACATGATCACACTTTTCCTTTCACAGATTTTATTTTAAAAGAATTTCCATCAGGCTTATAGATTTTGGCACTATGCCAAGTGAGACTGGTGACTGTCCAGAGGACAGATCCTGGCCCTCAGAGACATACGCCTGGCCTGCATATGGTGGAGGGAGACAGTCCACTCTCTCAGTAGCTACCCCTGGGACTGAGACTAATGCAGGAAACAGCACGACGTTAGTGACAACAAAAGTGAACCAGTGGTATTCCAGAGGCAAAGGCCCCAGAGATAGCTCACCATGTTGAGTCACTGGCCCTGATTATCCCCAGGAGTTCAGTTGTCACCCCCTGAGCAACATGGCCCCCATATAGGTGGGGGCTAAGCATCACCTTGAGGCAGCAGCAGAATGACCAGGGCATCTAAGTCTCCCACGCTCTTCTAATCCCTAGGCCAAGAAACACTATGATGCAATCAAGACTGTGGGCTAAGAGGGATTCCCATTCTCTCTGGCCTTCGCAAGTTCCTGGGCTTCCCTTCCATGGGTGACATCAAATAATACCTAGGGGGACTGTGTAGAGGTGGTGAGAGGAGAGGTGATACACTCAGTGGAGTGTGTCAAATGAGTACACGATCCCGAGAAGGGCTCTGCTGCACACCATAAACCCTGTTTCCTGGCTTTCCCCAGGGCCTCCTGTGTACATTTCCAACCTGATGAGCTCTATAATACCCAGGGAATACTCCGTAAGATTTCCTGACAGGATGGGTCAGTCACCAAGTAAACCAGCAGCTCAACAAAATCAAGACTCTGCAAAGTCTGAACCAGTATTTGCCATATGTTGGCATTCTTAGAGCTTTCCACTGTGCACACATCTCTAAGACCAGGCAATGAATGTGCAGTCCAGGTAGCCCTGTAATTGTAGCCCAAAAGACAGGACTATATATAAAACAAGGCAGTGCTGAACAGAAATATGAATATTATGCTTTCTTTTTTTGACATAAAGTCTCACTGTGTAGTTCACATTGGTTTTCGACTCACTGTATAGACCAGACTGGCCTCAAACTTGTGGTGATAAGGCTGAGGAGCTAGCTCAGTAGAGTAAGTGTTTGCCTGGCAAGCAAGGGTCCTGAGTTCAATCCCTGGTATAGCAAAAAAAAAAAAAGAAAGAAAGAAAAAGGTACTTGTGGTGATCTTCCTACCTCACCCTCCCAAACGCAGGAATCACAGCCATGTGCCACCATGCCTGGCTGGAGGATTTTGCTTTTTAAGACTCGCTACCCCAGTTATATATACTTTGGGCTTCTATGAGCTACAGAGAAAAACATACTACACAAAGAGGCAAAATTTGTTCTCTACCTACCAAGCTCATTTCTTTGGATTTCAAAGAGGTAGAACTTCCCGAGGACGCTGTAGATGCTGGGCTGCTGGAAGCATCTTTCTTGAGCAAGCGGTTTTTGTCTATTCCGTTTTCCCGGGGTGAATGGGCAGGACTTGCACGAGGGGAAGTAGGGTCCTCAAGAAAGAGAATAAAAAGTTTCCAAGCTTTAGCTTAGAATAAAGACACTCGTCTATGTTTTTGTTTTTCATTATTTGGAACTGAACCCACAGTCTTCCACTGAGCTACATCTCTAGCCCTTACTTCATATTCTGAGACAGCGTCTTACCAAATTGGCCTGGCTGGGCTTAATTTTCAACCCTTCTGCCACAGCCCCTCAGAATACTTGGATTCCAGGCATCATTAGCACCATACTGGCTAATTCTTTAAGTTAAGGGATACTAAGTCTTTTAGATGGGAGATGTGCAACATTATCTAGTAATGCCACTACAATGAATGAGATGGTATTTGTAACACACCCATAATCATACCATAAGGAAAACCATGATGCCCAAGTTCCTCTCCTAGAGAGCAATGGAAAAAGAGAAGAACCAGATATTCAACTTAAAAATGACTAAGGAATCAAATGTTTTGGGGGAGCAGGGATGGGGAGTTCTGGGATTCAACCTAGGGCCTTGTGAACACTGGGTGAGCTGTGTGACACCGAAACCCAGCCTGGTTCAGATTTCTTTCTAAAGGAAATGACAATTGGTCAGACTATTACTGCTCACCAACAACCATTAGATTCTTAATGTAAGAAGATGCATAAGACCAGAACACTGCTGCTCCTTTCTTATACTCCTTATACTAGGCAAATCATTCCAAGGACACTCTTCAATGGAAAGAATCATTACCTCGTTAGACACATCCACTACTAAGTTGTCATCACTTTTGTCTCCATCACTGTCCTGTAAAAAATAAATTTAATGCTGTTTGGTAAAAGGTAAGAATGGGTTTGGGCAGAGTTAAAGTTCTTACTGCAGTTCTGGGTGGCAGAAACGATAAGCAACCACCACTCAGGATGCGAAGCAGCTGCACTAGCTTCCCCACTTCCAGCCTTGCAGCTAACTCCACACACACACACACACACACACACACACACACACACACACCCACCCCTGGAGCAAGGCAGGAATTCTGCAACAGTAAAGCATATCAAAATTGGAATTTCCTTGTAAGAAAGGGCAAGCTGCAAAAACTGGTACATTGTAAGGGTTCAATAAGTGCTTGCAATGGCTCTCTTGTAATCTGAAATTGTCTCTTTTCATCTGAAATCTGCATTTCTGTATTTCAGTATATTTCATCTGATTTCAAAGTAAGTACACAATTTCCTATTATTGTTTTTGTAAGTATCACCTTGAGGAGACAACCAGCCAATCAGGCACTCATGGTCAATTCATAATTGTAAAAAATTTAATTATTAAACCATTTTCCTTGAGGTTTCTTACTGGTTTCAGTAAAATCAAACGCTCTAGTCTCACCTGAAAAATAAAGCTCTTTACCAATCACCTTGGAATGTTGTGGGACAGAGGTAAAGATCTACAAACTGCTGTACATGATTTCAGGGTAAATCCTGAGGGGATCTGACTGATTTTGTCAGATACGTTATTCATTTTTTGTTATGTAGGTCTTGCTTTATCTTGGTCTTAACCATCTAGCAGAAAAGCATAAACATGAGGTATAAAACATAAAACCATATTAATATGCTGAGCTGTAAAAGGCTCAAGTCAACAACTTCTGACATTGTCAGTTCTATAGATAACCCACTGCTATTACAGAGTATTGGACTATAATGGATTATTTTGCTGAACTTATGCACCTACAATTTTTGAATGGCAATGGAACACCATCTATGACAAAACTAAACAAAAACGAGGATATAAATGAAGGTCCATTTTGTAGTAAAAAAAAATCATGAAAGAAAAGCATAAAATTAACAATAAAATTGATTTTCTCTTAGTAAAGCCCACAGAAGTGTTCTCAGGTATTTCCTTTTCAGGAAAAAAAAAAATTCTAAAAACATCCTGATCATATATAAGTTGAAAAAGCACAGAGAAAACAATTACTTTATATTAATGGCACTTATGAACACAGTAATGATAAAATCAGGATAATGAGCATTTTTTATCTCCTATCACTTCATTGTGCTGTGAACCTTTCAACTACTCTAGCTCCTCCTGAGATACAGAACAGGTAGCCAAAAACTGTAGTCATTCCACTGTGTTGCAGAACATGAGAGCTTACTGCTACTTACTGTACTGTGCTACCTGTTATTCAACCCCTTCTATTCTAGCACTGGATATCACTTCTTTCTAAAAGAACTCTGAAGTGAGTCTTTCTGTCTCTTCTGATGCAAATCGTAGCTCTCTATCAGGCCCTTCTGCAAATCTGAACAATCTCAGCACACTAAATTTCTGGCACTGAACTTCCACAGTCTGAGCTCTTTTCCACCAGATTCTCCAATACAATACATTTATCACCCACAGATACCTATCCAACCAGAAATATTGTACCTACTATAAGCAGGTAACAAAACTTTCATGTGACCTAAGGATCCTGGTTCACTCATGGATAAATAAATTATATAGTTAAGCCTTACAACTCAGAACTGAACTTTAGCAAGTGTCCCGGTGTCTGCAGACCAAACTGCGGACTGATTTGAGGACTTCTGGCAAAGTACCACTCTTAGGACTGTGTTTGAGAATCAAGAATACAAGTTTCAGAGCCAGAGCATTCCCAAGATGTGCCTTTAACCAGGACCTTGGACAACCACAGAAAAAGCGACAGGCTACATTTCTTTATGTATAAAATGCAGATGATGGTGCCCAGCTAATCAGCTGCAGCAGGCATTAAATTAAATAGCACAGGATTCCTGGCACTAATGAACTTCTGTCACCAAATGCACTCTCACTGGCATCAGCTTGAACAGGAAACAAAGGCCCACTGTCTCAACCCTGGAGGCCTGTACCATGAACCCCTCTTCCTCCCAGGGCAACAAGATCATCTCTTGCTGATCCTGAGACCCTACCCACCCTGAAACACTCAAACCTAAGGCAACTCTAGGTTACACACTGGCTAGTGTTTACAACTTCAGTGTGGTTTCAGCTGGCCCTGACCCCTCACTCCACTGACCAGTCACAAGAATTCACCAGTGGGCATGAACAGATGCCTCTAATGGGCCCTTCACTGGGCACCCCCACTTAACTATGATGCACTGCATAAGACGGTGACCTCTACCTTAAGAGTAACACTAGCCTGGGTATCTTACCAGAATGTAAGAACAGCATACAAAGAGCATTTTGTAATTCTAGCATTTTTATTTGACAGAGCAATTCAAGTTGGAGTGACCACCAACTTTGCAGGGCCAAAGACAAAATGACAAAGCTGAGCCTTCATTCCAAAGCTGATATTCCAAGACATCAGAGCAGGGCCTTTCCATAAGAGGGGCTGAAGCCACTGGGCCCAGGAGGCAGGCTCTTCACAGAATCACAGTACAAAAAGTCTAAAACATAAAACTAAGCCCGACAGAGATATAATTTATAAAAGGTTATGAATAATATGAGAACCTACCTTTCTCTATTATGTTATATTAAGGAAAGTGGAAATCGTGGGGATATTAGCACATACTTGAATACTGACTTAGAAGGTGAGCAGAAAGTAAATTACTTGAAATCTTGGATTTACTTACATAGTGGCTGGAATCCTTATCATCCACCTTCCTTTTTTTGATGTCACTGGAAAATTCAGGTCCATTTCTGCGTTTATCTGTACCTCTTAGACTGTCTGGGACCAAGAGAGAATTACTCTGCAAGGCAAAGAAAAATAGCAAAAATAATAGTGAAAGTCAAACACTACTTGTAAGGCATCTGTGCAAACATTAAAACCCAAACTGCATGGGGAGACTGTTTTAGACAAGTGATACCCACAACCTTTCATCAGGGCATCCGTCTTCAGGCAGACAGCAGATACTCCTGGCCTCTCTGCACCTGCAAAGGCCCTGGCTCAACAGGGAAGCCAGCTAACCCGAGTGTATCACAGGGCTCTACCCACTCAAAACACTCTGCTTTACTTAGCACTGTGGAAAGGGAGCTTGCTGTCTGAACATGGATAGGTTTTTATTCTCTCTCATTTTGACTTCCTAGTCAGGAAAATGAGCAGGCTCTAATAGGCATATTCTCTAACTCTGAGAGTCACTATGTACCACTCTAAAGGACATAAAGGAAGCAGGTGGGATTAACAGCATGGTTTCCTAAAAGGCAAATCTCATTTTCCATAGCAACAATGGAGAAACTTTTGAATTCTTTTAATTTACTGTTGAAAATAAGATTTGGTGTTGCTTGCCAATAGTATTGAAATTTAAGACCTAAAGGGGAAATTTCAGCCTGCGAATCTTCAATAGTAAGATCAGCTTCTCCACACAAAAGCAGGAACAAGGACTAATCTTTTCCACAAACCACACAGGATACTTTCATTGGCATATGCTGAGTGTGAACTGTTGACCCAAAGAAAACAGGCATTTTAGATATTTTGGGGTCACATGACATGATCTGACATCCCTTCAATTCCCATCTCCCCTTGGGCTAAAGCATGAGAACAAGTTACAATGAGTTCTTTTAAGTGCAGGATTAGCATATGCAAGAGGCAATTTGTTCAGTAATGTGTTACAGCCTTGAACAAAGCTGAATGAGCTATGCAAGACCTCCTTTCACAAAGCCCAGATAACCTCAATTTTGGGAAAGATGTTAGGGCACTAACGGAGGAGGGGAGGGTGGTAATCCTGTCCAACAAACACTTAGGATATCTTTCTCTGTCATAATTTAAAATACAGGAAACCTTCTAGATCAAATCAAATGCAATGTGTACCCAAACCAAGTATTTCACACCACATTTTAGGGCCAGCCGGTGACCAACCAGGGCCAGCCGGTGACCAACCAAGCACCAGCTCTCAAAGCTCCCCTGGGAAGAAGACGGATCCCGTACACCATAGGGGTATGTTCCGGTTCAACCATAGGCAGGAGGGAATCAAAACTGGGGACCAGAAGGCAATCCGAAGCCTCTTGGCCCACTTCAGGGGCTGACTCTAAAGCCAGCTGAGCTCTTTTATCCCTGACTATTCAAGCTACACAAATGGCAGGAGGCTTAGATAAAAAGGTAGAGAGACCCGAGCAACTTAATATGGAGAAGCTCAAAGTCAAGTCTTTACCGCAGCGGCTGGGGCTGAAAGGTGAGCCGGCTGGGTCCTTGAATTAATCACCTCAATAAAAGTCTGCTAACAACTGCCCCCTCCAACTCAGCCTCACAGCCTGACAAGGATGTAAGAAATTCAGCACAGCTCCTGCCAAGTGCTAAGTGGCACTAGAAGTATTCTGATGTAGCTGTCCAGCTGCAGGTTGTTTCAGCCCTGAGGTCTTCTCCAGACTGCACAAGCAGCAGGGGGCCAGGCTGTCTCTTGCTCAGGCACCCAGTGAAACCCAACATCTGCTCCAGATCAGCTGGCTTTTTCTTCCCCACTACTGAGGACTAAACTGCAGGCCTCCACACTGAGATATGTCCCCTGCCCTTTTTATTTGAGAGGGTCTCACAAAGTTGCTAAATTGCTCGGATGGGCCCTTCGGGCCACTGCCTCCGGTGCACACCACCACATGCTTGGCTTCTGCTGGCCATTTCTACACTTTCCACAGGGCTTTCTTAAGGCCTCCCTAGGTAATTAGCACTGGGCTTCCAAATCACTCAGCCATTCCCAGTCCACTTTTGTCTTTTCAAAATGACATCAAGTAGAATTGTGAATATAAACGTAAGCCACAATTCTGTTATAAACATTACAATTTCTGTTAGAAATAATAACATTTCTGTGGCTGGACCCTAGACACTGTCAGGCTTTGAGGCCTCTACTTCTGCAATGTAGAAGAAACTATTGCGATTTTCACTTCAGCAGCTTGAATGAGGCCTGCATGGAATGAATTTTGAAAGGTTCAAAATTAGCACCCCTGCTTATCTGAAAACTGACTCTGTCCAACTGGTAAACCTGAACAAATCACAGAACAAGCCCTTTCTTCTTTGTACCTCTGAGTCTATGAAAGTAGTTGAAAACAAAGCAGCTGAGCGGGTGGCCAGAAGGCCGGGCAGGGAGGCCTGCTCTGCATATGTGACCCGCTCACCAGCCATTGGAGGCTATCTACCTTCAGTCAGCTCACAGCACACCCCTCCCAGGAGCCCAGGTTCTATGTGACTTAAGCTGCTGTCTGGTTCTGACAGCAGTGTGGCTTAATGTGAGCAAAGAGCTCCAGCCTAAGGAGTAGCACAGGAGTGGCCACAACAGCACTACTGTAGTGCTTCAGCTATGGCTGCAAGAAGCCTTGTCATCGTGGACCCCATCTGCTCTCTCTCCGGAATCTGAAGGCACTGCAGGGAATGCTGCATGTCTTGAGATACCAAAGCATTCTGCCCTCATGAACATTCTACTGCCTGTGTACTATGGCTGAAGGTACAGGTGGCTGGCACATGTGTTAAGAAAGAAGGAGGGCTGGGGAGATGGCTCAGTGGAATAAGCACTTCCCTGGCAAGCGCAAGGGCCTGAGTTCAATCCCCGGTTCCGCAAAAAAAAAAAAAAAAAAAACAAAAAAAAAAAAACAAAGAAAGAAGGAAAACTGAGCACTGAATATCCTTTGTGCCTTCAAAATTTAGGCCCCATCATTGTAGAATAATAATTCATGTTGCACAACAAACACTTAAAAACCAAATGAATGACACTAACATTGTTTCTCTTTGGGTTATTTAAAAAGTCATTCTAAACACAAAGCCAAAGCAACCTTGAAGATGTATTTTTCATCCTTGATTTTACCAGAAACATTTTGATGCCCAGGGAGCAGGTCTCAGCCTAGGTTAGCCAGCTCTTCCTAAGGCTGGGGATACAGCTCAGTGGTAGAGTGCTTACCTCACACATACAGGGTATTGTTTCATCCCCAGAAGGCATGTGTGCGTGCACACACACACACACACACACACACACACCACCCTGTCAATTCCTTTTATGGAGTGCTTCCTTTCAGAGGGGTGACCTCTAAGCTGTTTCTATACCCAAAATACCTGTACTGAAACACAAATAACAAATCCACACAGACTCTTTATAATGCTTAATGTTCTACCATGTCATAACAATGCATAATGCAAATTTTCTCGGATCCTCACTCCTAACCACGCAACAGTCCTTTCATTTATATAAGCTTAGCATGCCAAACATGGGAACACATAATTAGGGAAAAGCAGTATTTTACAGCCTACTTTAAAATGAACTGCCCACTCTGGGCAATACAGGAAACCTGTCTCTAATAGTAGCCCTAATAGCATTAATAATAAAACGGACGTAAGAGTCTGAGAGTCTTGGCATTCTGCTTAGGAGCACTGCACTGCCTAGCACTCTGGAGCCCAGCGCCAATGCCTCAGGACACAACTCTGGAGATAACAGTTCTGCCAACTTACCTGCCCATCACAGAGATTTCCTCCCAAACCCCACACTTAGAAAGATTTTAATCTACCACACAGCATTCGACAAGGACAGCTTTTTCAATATTTATCCACCAAATAAATATTTAACCATGAATCAGTTTTTTTGATCAACATGAGAACCAGTGTTGTCATACTGACTGATAGACTCCCATCCTAGCCAAGAAACTCAGTGTTTTATTTCACCTTGCAGCTGGTAAAATTTAAGATTCTGCCAGGATTTTTCCTACATTGTAAATACCACACCGACTTTGATTACAAATGTCCCGAGGACTGGGATTTCCAGATTACATACAAGTTTTCCTTTGTTTTAAAATTTTGTTAAAAAATAAACAAAATCATCTTATTCATCTTATATTTTCTATAGGAACTCAAATAGGAGTTATATACCCTATGGAAGAAATTACAAACCTGAGCAAATCAAGACTTGAAGACAGTGTTCTGAAAACAATCTGAAATTCTACCCATAATGTTTTTCTATACCTTACGTGTTACACAGGCTTAAGAGTGCAAAGCCCAGGAAAATGCTAAGGGGAGAGAAATGTGTGACAAGTCACAAAAAGGGAAAAAGGAAAAAAAATTCCTCGAGAATGTTCAGGGCTAGGACAGAAAGCAGGCCCAACACAAGAGCAGCTGGCCTGAGTCTCCATTTACAGGTACAACCGCATGAGACACATAATCCTGTCCTGTGAGAACAGTGAGGGCACGCTCCACACCCAGCAGTGTCACCCTTCTTAAGCCATCCTGGGGATCCTGGGGACTATCACACCTTGGAGGGCATCTTTCCTGGCAACAGGCAAACTGTTTGGCACTACTGATGCGTTGTACAAATCACATCTACCTGCACTAACAGTGACAAAAGAACAGAACCACTATGACAAGGAGGAGAGGGACACACAGAAGAAATGAGCAGCACTTCCAGCAATATAAGTATGCTTTCCCTATAGGAATCAAACCCAGCATAGTTCCCATGTGTGGGAATGAGACACAAACTGAGACTCTACCTGGTGTAAAGGTAGCCAGATAGTTGGCAAAGTGTGTGGATGGAGTAGGGAGGAGAGGTCAATATATGCTCTCTTATGAAAAATATCCCAGTGCGATTGTAAATCTGCACCTTCATCTAGGAACAATGCTAAGGTCTGAACTTTCCCTTATCATAACCATTCAGGACAACCACATGCCCTTTGCTATCTTCTGAATACCTGCTTGAGATTAAGGTACCAGATCCCAGATCTTTCACTGGGTGAAGACCAATATCTATGGTCATTTTCCAAGAAATGGATTTCCCTTCACTACTCCAAA